AGTGTAGTTCATATGGGTTATATATGCAAGACTGTTTAAATAGACAACCAAAAGTTATATATATAGCTAGAATATATCATTGTTAATGTAACAAAGTTAGGGGTAGCCCATGTGGTTATCTTAGCATTTGATCCAAAGTTCAATAAAACATGCCAGATTACCTTAACATTAAATAAAAAAAAATAAAAAAAAATAAAAAAAAAATTATTAGCCCTAACTTCTAAAAAATCTGGTCATGTATATCACAGATCAAAATTTTTAGAGGCATTACAAACAGAAAATGCTGAAATTATATTTTTGATATTATTATTATAAATACATCAAAATCATAATTTCAGTTATCAAAACATATAAACATATAAGTCCACTGCTTCGCTTTAGACAATAACAAACTATATATAATCTGATGGGTTGGCACTTGTAACTTTAATTTTACTAGCTTGTACTAAAAGACTATAAAACAATAATATGATATACAGTATATGTTATATAAAACCCAAGTAAATAGCATCTAAATCTAGAAATTAGATAAATAGAAGTTTGTTTAGCAAGTTCTAAATAGAGAAGTAGTATAGATCATTAATGATACTATGTAAAGAATTATCTAAAGAATTCAGATATCGATTTTAATAAACTGAATGAGGATTAGGTGTTTAATAAACACTATACTAATCAGACTACTAAAGGAGAACCAGAAGAAAAAGATCTAACTATAAAGATCAGAGCAGATTACAACCCTTTCAGGTTATCTGAATTGAAAGTTTAGAATATTAACAAAACTTAGATATTAGTAATAGTTCGTAAAATGTGTATTAGAATTTAAGTAAACTTTACAAAGACAGTAATACTGTAGATAATAGTAGCAGGTGTTTTTACTAATTTATCACCAGGTTTCTGATTGGCTAAATTTGTTTATATATTATTTTTTTTTAAAATATGATGCTTTGGCTAGGGTTAGCAATAAAGTTAGAAGGTGCTTTTATACTAAAATTTTGCAAAAAAATTTTTTTATTAGTATACAAAAGATAGTTTTTTAGACAAAATTTTGAGATTAATGTGATTTTTCAAAAATCAAGTGATTGTTTTTAATTTTTACATTATACCTGATTCTGTTCTCTAATTGGCCAGAATCATGAAATCTGTAATAAAATTAGTAAATGCGTAGCGGGTTCACAAATACTTGTTCTTAGACTTAATATAAGTTACTAAAAGTCTAGATTAGCCAGATTGTAGATATAGAAAGCTCTATTGATGATGTCTTTAGTATAAATTAGTTTTAAAGGCTTTAAAAAAAGTATTTAAAACTTCTTTTGACTAATAATTATATTAGAAATATACTAGTGATACAAGTTGGGTTGCATTACAAAAAGTTTAAATAGATAACTTTTAGTTAGGTTGTAGATATGACAGCTAGTTAAGGTTTAAAATATGTCAGTTCAAAAAAGTCTACAAGCTTTTTTTAAAAATTAATTCTAACTATTTTTTATAATACTAACTATATAATAAATTAGTATATGATCAGTATTATAAAAAATGGTCTAAATTGATTTTTAAAAAAGCCTATAGACCTTTTTGAGCTAGTACATTTTAAATCCTATAGCTAGTATATAGTAGAACCTATAGTATAATACTAAAATGCGAACTACTTAAATAAACAACTAAAAGTTGCTTATATAGCTAGTTATACTTTTTAATATAAGAGGTTCTGTTGTGAGCTCTATATCTAAATTCTTAAATAAAAATCTTGATCCAAAGAGGCTAATTAATAAAAAAAATATATAAGCAAGGCCTTATTTTAATATTAAAAAAAATTACTCAAATATATAAAGGCAGTGTCATTTATCACCTGATTTTTTTTTATCAAAAGCTTATTTCTCTTCCCCCTTTTAATATATATTTTAATTAGGTTTTTATATATAATTTTAAATTTCTTACTCCCTCCCCCTCTAAAAAATCATCTAATTTTTGTTACGTCTCCAACTAAATATAAATTTATAAAACTTTTTAATATTTCTAAAGATAATAAATATAGATATAGTAATATATTATAGCAAAAATATTAGATATTATAGAATTAATATATCAGCAAAATATATAAATATAATCTTATGCAAAATATACACACCAAAACTCTTTCTGACGATCTCTTGGTCAACAACAAAATAAACTGAACTACAGAAAAATGTTATAGAAAAGCAACAAAGTAGACACAATAATACTCTTAGTTTATACAAACAAACTTGCTATCGACAAAGCTACTATATACGTGAAACACCAAAAAGTGGGCATATAATAAAGAGCGAGTTGTGCCTTTGAGTCAAGTTTTTTAGTGAACTCTCTCGCACTTTCAGTATCCAAACCAGAAGAGTTATTCTGAAAGCAATGTCCCTGTGGGTCCCTGGTTAAGAATATCTAGTGGAAACTGAGGAACTGGACTATACAACTGTAAAACTTATATGAAGAACCTCATATACTATCGTTGACCCACTACTTTTTTCGAGGAAATTTTTGTAAAAAGTGGGCGATTTAGTTTATCTCCTCCAAAAGATCGACATTACGTGAACCAAAACAGTCAGTATTGTTTATTTCCTAAATCAGTATAATGGAACAACAAATACGTCAAGGCACATGCCTCGAATATAAAAGCTAATCGAACAATGCTCTGAGATTAATCTAGTTCGAATACTGACCTCTTTACCTAATTCGATCGAAGAAGTGTTTATCTGACGGTGTTTTAAACTTAGATATACTAAATAGATAAATTTAAAATAGGGATATAATTTATTTAGTATAGTATAAAATTTTTAAGGCCTTTTACGGGTCTATAAATATGACATTAGGATAGTTATTCTTTTTGTTTTTGTTTCGATATTTCCTTCTCTATTTATTTTCTTGTTTGTATCTTTTATCATTATCTCCCATACCTCTGTATTTTTTTGTCTATCTGTTTTCTTTTTTGGGCTTCTTAATGAAGCATGTAGCTGCTCCAGCTAATGATCATTAGGATCAAATCCTCAGATAGTTGAGGATCCAATGTGAAGCATAATGCTGCTAAGCAAGTCACACCTGGGCCTTAATGCTGAGTGAGTCTCTTTGCGCAATAGGATTATAGTATAGAAAATTATATTTCCTGTTAATATTAATCTTCTAATACTTCTAATAAAGTATGAGGCAGAACTGCCGAATAAAAGAAAAAAATAAATATAATTTTATAAAAGTTATTATATTTTGAAAAATTCTGCAATAATTATGATTAATGCAAAATATTTCGAAATTTTTAATTACAAAATATTATGAAATATATTACAAAATATTATGAAATTAGTTATGAAATATTTCAATAAGATTTGAATTCAAATTTATTTGAAATATGCAAAATTTGGGCTTTCTCTTTCTTTTTCTATAACTAATGATAGCTAGTCTTAAATTAGTTTATAAATAGAAAATTAAGAAGTGTTTTGCTACACTTAGGTGGTTATACAGAATATAATAGATAGTTTAAAATTAATATCATCTTGATACAAATTTGTAATTAATCTTATTATGTATACAGCAAATTCAAAATATAAAAAAAAAAAAAAAAGAAATATGCAAAATTTGCTACTTGACTAGACAGTATTAAAAAACTTTTATAAAATAAATAAAATAGTAAATTAATAATTTGAAAAATATGAATCTGTTCAAATTTATCAAAAATATTTTAAATAATTTTTATTTCTTTTTATTTAAAATTAATTAAATATTCAAAAATATAATAAATTGAAATATATTCATATAGTATATTTTTTTGATTTATTTTGTTTTTTTAAATTTTTTTGAATTATACTGAAATTAATAACCAAAAAACAATTTATTCAAATAAATAAATACTATAAATTTTATTGTTTAAACTATATTATTTGTTTATTTAAAATTTTTAAATATTATATATAAAAAAAGCTAATTAATCTTATATTAAAGAAAGAATTTTACTAACTATAACTGGCAGTGATTATTATTGCAATTACATGATCAGATACATTGCAAATTATTAATCAATATATATATATAAATATATACAGTATAACAATATATAGTATATTATATATTACTATTTATCGTATATATACAAACTACTATATATATTACAGGTCAAATTAAACTTGACCCAAGTTAAATTGATCATTTAAAAACCTCTGCTAGCAACAGCATAATTCCAGCCCATCCTAACCCTAAAATTTTGCTATAGATCAATTTGACCCAGATCAAATTGATCATTTAAAAAACCCTGGCCGACATTAACATAATTCTGGCTTACCCTTACTCTAAAATTCTGCTAAAGATCAATTTGATCTGGATCAAGATTAAAAATTAATTTGACCTATAACATATATACCACACTTTATATACATTATGATTTATGTGCTTCGCTTAACCTACAGGGTGAGTAAAGCAAGCCCTGTAGTCGCTTCGCTATAACTGTTATCTCTATCATGCTCTCTTATTTTAAATACTTTATCTACAGTGATTTAAAGTTTGAATATTCATATGATAAAACTAGTTATAACTGGATCTATAATATACACATTAAAACTGGCTCCCAAACTTTAAACCAGCTATCATTATTACAATCACTATGCATTATTAAATCAAGAAGAATGCATAATGGTAAATCAATATGTAACAGTATTATTAATAGATTAGATCCTTGAATTATACTGTTTCATACTCATTTGAAATAAACTTATCGTTACAACTCCTAAACTCAATAGCTTATAGCCCCGTCCTAAGTATTTAATAAGCTAATACAAATTAATATAAACAGTACATATGAATTAAAATAAAAAACATGATAGTTCAAAGTTATAGCTTATTCTACTCCTAGTGCTAGTACGAAAAAAAGCAAATTAGAATGCACAGTATAGCACATATGAAATAAGATAAAGCATACAGTTCAAGGTTAAAGCCTGTTCTAATCCAAAGTGCAAATAACCAACTAATAAAAAATTCATGTGTTACTGCTACTTGCTATATTTTGTTTTGTTTCTAGAATTATGGCACAGTTCTCCACAAACTTTGCATATATACTTGTGTTTCAACACATTATCGTCAGTAACTTGCATTCTTGCATTAGTATTGTCTGATGGTGCACCAGTAGTTGCTTCAAAACCATCAGAATTGAGAACACGAAAAGAAGTTCTTGATAAAGATGCTTGTAGTGTATGTTGTTGCATATATAAATTCAGATCGAGTGGATTAAGTGCACTACTTTTCGAAGTAATATAAAATATGTTGGTTTCAGATACCAATTTGATTCTATTGTTTGGAGGGTGACCATGCTATTTTGTAACAAAAGGATCAGATATATAGGAATCATTATTTTCATTATGATTATCATTGGTACAATTTTTTTTGTGATCGATAAATTCGTTAACCATATTAATGAATTCTTCCTCACAACTCAAATCTAAAACTAAATTGAGGGCTTTTTTTATTTTGCCAAACCTATATGTGTATTTAGCTTTTCTTTGCACATATTGTCTAACTTTATATATGAATATATCTGGTGTTCTTAACTTATTAAATATATGAAAATTGACTATTGATAGTTCATTATCGTTATTCTGTTAGAATTGCGTTATGATTCTTACTGCTTTATTTTCCAAATCAGCTTGAATATCCTGATCTTGAATATATTCAAGATACTATCATTTGGAAAAAGTCTGATACTAAATTTGACAACCTTTAAACTCATTATAACTTGAAAAAAATGTGAACAGACAAGACCACAATTAATTATAGCTATACATATATATAAATAGCCACCGTCTACTAATAAAATGATGTAGTGTTTATATAATTTGGTAAGATCAAAAAGCTCCCAGACCTCTATAATATCAGATAATGCTATTCTTTCTAAAAGAAATTGAAGAGATGCTTGTGGCCTATCAAGTTGATCTTTAAGAAATCCATCATCATAATCATAATCATCATTCTAATAAAACATACATTATTATTACTAAATAATGCGTAGCATTATATGCAGACTTAGTTATATGATCTGGGTGATCACTTGCTTTTGTAAAAGTGTCCTTTGTTCTGCTTCAAACAATAATTTATAATAAATAGTCCCAGTATTAATATACTTTTATATTGTCAATTGTTTTCTTTGAAATATTTTTAGCCTGATATAATAATAATTCAATAATTTGTTGCTATTGAACTGATAAGATATGCGGTGTTAAATATTTAGTCAGCAATTCAATAACTTTAAAAAACAAAGGTTCAACGATTGATGGTGCTTAATTAGTTGGAAAGCTTTAAAGGTACTTATTGTACCAAGCCTATTTAGCCTCTCCGTCCAACAATTTTTGAATATGATCGTATAAATTATATAATGAAGAGGTGCTACTAGTTTTATTTTTAATTAGCCAGTTCATAACTTCTACTCTTTGTGTACTTTGGATGCCAGCCATGAAACACTTTAATTGATAATATCTTGGCCACGTTTAACAACAATTATTTAAAGTATTAAGATATTTTTGGGCTAAAGGATACTTTTCAATTAATCGTTTCCAATGTCAATAAAAATCCTCTTCAAAAAGACTATTTCGAGTATATTGAAATTCCTTATAAAATGCTTTATATTGTTGTCTTAATTTGCTGGCTAAATTTTTTCTTAAGTTTTCTTGGATATAAAATATGCATAAAAAATGGTGTATATTAGACATTTTTGAAGACACTGCATTTATGAAAGCAGGATTCACATCCTAAAATAAACAAACAGATGAAATGCTATTTGTTGATTTAAGAATATTTTCAAGAAACTACTCATAACTATCAATAGTTTTATCTTCTGATAAACATTGAGCAACAAGCTGGCTTTTAGTATTGCTATTCACTATGACTAACAAAGTTAAATATATATTAAACCAATTAGTTCGACATGTATTATCTACTTGTACCACATTATATCTTATAAGACATTGATTCTGAGCAGAAAACATCTAAAATAACCTTACGAAGCAATTATCAAATAAATCAATTCTCATATAAATTATTCACCCAGGTTCTTGATCTTTCAATGCAAGTAATTTATTAATTATATTTTGTGTGTCTTCATGCTATTTGGTAAGTAATGCTTTAACCTTTTGAACTTCATTGTAAAGATTTCTTTTGTGAATATAATGATCTGGAAAACTTGCAACCAACAGTTGATATATTTGTTTTGATCTCATATTTCTTTTAATTACATAAAACTCAATCTTCTCTTTTATATCTTTTGATAATTTGCGATACTCAGAAGCATATAAATATATATCAGAAATCATATCATGATTGTGATCTTTAAAAATATTTGTGACTCTTATTTTCAACAACGATTTAGGGTTGATTAAATTTATGTGCCACAAGCACCTAATTTTTTGAAACTGTCGCTAATGTTGTTTAGTTATATCAATCACTTGATTAGAGATAGGTGTACTGAAAAAACTATATTCAAATGTCTGACGTTTAATAACTCCATCACCATCAAGCTCAAGACGTTTCTGGCATAAGATAAATCTAGCTTCTCTTGTATATTGTTTGAGTTTCATTTTTGCCTCATCCTACAACAAAAAAGAAGCACTAACATTAATATCCAAAGTTAAGTAAAATTCTGTTGAAGCGACATTTTCAAGTAAAAGAACATTTAAAAAATATGAAATATAAAATTCAAATCAATAAAACAAAACACCATTTGCTCAACTCTTAAAAATTTAAATACCTGTATCACTTTGACAGTCTTAAATAGAAAGAAATCAAAAAAAAAAGTAAATCAAAATAAGTGCACTCTAATCATGCAAACCTAGAAGTATAAAGCTTACAACTTGTATTGTTATGATAGTTCTCAGAAAAGTAATCTAGAAAAAAATAAATAAATAAAAATAAAGCGAATCTAATAGAACAAATACTAAAGTACGTATATTGCTCACCATCCATATTGCTTTGACAGTTTTCGGAAAGAAATTCTAAAAAAAAAAAAAAAAAGTAAAAATAAAATGACCCTGAATAAACTCTAAAAGTGTATTGTATTGCTTATTATCTATATCATTTTGGTAGTTTTTAGAAAGAACATCTAAAAAAAAAAAAACCAAATAAGCAAACCCTAATAGAACAAACACTAAAGCATAATATTTACTATCCATAATATTTTGACAGTTCCTAAAAAGAAGCTCTAAAAGAAAAAAAAAAAAAAAGTAAAAATAAAGTGAACTCTGATTGGACAGACTCTAGAAGCATATCGTTACCATCTATATCATTTTGATAATTGTCAAAAGAAAATTCTATAGTGAGAAAAAAAATAAGTAAAGCAAATCTAATAAAATAAACAATAAACACAATGCTTATTATCTATATCATTCTGACTGTTCTCAAAAAACTCTAAAGAAAAAAAAGTAATAATTAAGCGAATCCTGATAGAACAAACTCCAGAAGTATATCTCTTACTATCTATATCGGTTTGATAGTTTTCAGAGTAATATTCTAAAGACAATAAAACAATAAGCAAAAATAAAGTGAAACTTAAGCGAACAGCTTTAGAAAACTTACCATTCACATCGTTTTGACAACTTTCAGAGTGAAACTCTAAAAAAAAAAAAATTAAATTAAAAAGAACCTTAATTAATAATAAAGTCTAAAAATATGATGCTTACTATCCATATTAACATGATGCAAGCTAAATAAAATCACATTTTAGCTTAAAGATGTGGTTTTTATTGTACTTGCTTTTAATCTACTTCTTGACTTCTAAAACCCGCGTTCACTATTTCACGAAATTTATGATAAAACTTTTTAGGCATTGATTTATGAAATTAGTAGAAGTTTAATCACAAACTGATCAAAGTTTTATTATTTAACACAAATAATGATGCACCTCCTATATCTGTCAAAAATAAACTAATATTGTAATTACCATCTTCGCCCAGTGGCTCATGTAACTAATATTTATGCAGTGGTGATTACTGCCAGTTATTTAAAGTAAATACCTTAATTGGTGATTCGCCACTCAACTAGAGAGTGCTTATAGTATAACGTGATACAGTTTATATATAGAAATTAAGGTTTTTCGAATGTGGCATGCTTACATCTAAAACTTTTTTGTACTAAGTTAATTATCTTTGAACCTCTAATTGAAGTTGTAGAGCTTATTGAAACGAATCTAATGGTAGTTGAATCGTCAAAATTGGCTTAGTGGATCACGAGATATTTTTGAAAAATGTTTCACCGACTATGTAAAATTCTTTTGGCATTATTATTGTTGAAAGAGAGAATTTTACATAGTCAGCGAACCGTTTTTTGAAGATATCTCATGATCCACCAAGCCGATTTTGACAATTCAACTATCATTAGATTCATCTCAACGAGCTTTACAACTTCAATTAGAGGCCCAAAGGTGATTAACTTAGTATAAAAAAAGTTTTAGATTTAAGCACACCACATTTAGAAAACCCTAATTTCTATATATAAACTATGTCATATTACACTATGAGTACTCTCTGGTTGAGTGATGAATCACCAATTAAAGAAATATATAAAAAAAAAAAAATAGCAGTATTATTCATATATAAAAAAAAAACAAACAAAAAAACTTTACTTATCATTATCTGTATCATTCTCATTATCATCTGTATCTTTTTCTAATTATCATCATTATTTAAAGATAAAGAACCAGAAGATATAGATTTAAAATTATTTTCTTCTGATTTTTTTCACCTTCTGTATCTTCTTCCAAATCTATTTGTACTAATTCAGATAAAATTATTTAATTGATAATTCGTTTATGAACTAGAGAATAGGTGAAATGAGACGTCTGCCATCTAAAACTTTTTTTCTTACTAAGTTAATGACACATGCCCATTAATTGA